ACTATAGAAATAAATATAAACTGAATTGAATTTTGCACCATGTGCAGTGTTCATTTGGATGATGCAACAGAACCAATGCACCCACCACCTTCCAATTATCCAGTAGGAAGATTAGAAAGAGATAGGCCCTGATCATACCTTTCACACATATTTTGTTACTTTTGTTTTATTTTATTTTTTTGTGATGAGGGGCCCTTTTGTAAATGATTTTTCTATTGGCAGCGAGTGTTATGCACCTTGTGTTTTTGATGCTGCCCTCTTTGCGCCTGCAGTTTGAAAAATTCAACTCTATGCAGAAAAAGATCCTGACCTAATGCCCTCCAGCCTCAAGGCTGTTGATCCAGTGGTTGCCTAGCAACATAAAAAGCGAAGCACAGCGTCAACAATATGGCAGTGTGATACTAATTGGGTTTTTTAGAACTAAAAAAAAAGCATGTTCTTTGTGATCGGCCCCTAATAGAGCCAATTCAGTGGGTGAGGATTATTAATTATTACGCCAGCCATGGTTATAGCTCTACTTTTTACGAAAAATAAAAAAGTTTTCAAAAAAGTTACATTTTCAATGAGGCCATTTTACTTAATGTCTACTTGTAGGAGGCTTGACAATTCACACAGTTTTCCCCGACACCTAAAAGCTTTTAATCTTGAGGTGTGATGTTGTGTCCATTGGCAGAAACCTTTTAGTCTCATGCCCAATGACTAACTTAAAAGAAATGTAATTTTTAATAACCAAAAACAGGACTGTGACTTAGGCCACATTTCTGCCAGTTAAATGTGACCCAATTCTGATGTTTTGCTCATATGTGACACAGATCAGATCTGTTCTATGACCATGTAAACACAAAAAAAAAAAAAAAATGCATGCATTCGGATATTTAGAAATCGGTTTCAGGTCTCCTTCGATTGGATCGGATTTATTGAGGCATTCCGTTCTGTACATCATTAAACTTGCGACAATGTAGTGCTTCTCCGCGGTTAAATGACAGAAAGAGGAGCGTGTGTGGAGATGCCGACGCGGTAAACAACATCAGAGGAAACAACGAGGAGGAAAGGGGTTCAGTCGCCACAATTTGCTCCCACCAGACCTGAGATCTCTCTCGTACCCATAAATTCCTCTGAATGGTGGAGGACGTCATTAAGCATTTAAACCATAAGCGCAAGCTTCGATGACAGCCATTCGATGACACCTCCTCCTCAAAATCATTTTAAAGTTGGGCGAACTTTGCGTTGTAACTTTTGCTTTTTGTCGCTATTAATACACTCACTGCGGGCTTCACATAGAATAACTCTATTCTCTCCAACACCAGTGCGCACACAGGCAAAGACTACATCTTCAACTACACACACACGCATCAGGGCTAAACCATTACATAAACTGCATGGGGGTAAATCTGGACTAAACCATTCACTGCTCATACTACACTTCGCATATTTCGCAGAGCTAAAAAACAAGACAATTTCTTCCATCGTGGCTAGTGTGGCACAGATGCTAGAACCCGCGTGTATGCATGCGCGACATCGTAAATTGTATGGCAAGTGTAAACGCATGAATTGGATATAGGTCACAATTAAAATAACGTGTAAACGGACAGGCAAACAAATCAGATATAGCCAACAAATCGAATTGGGCATCAAGACCTGACAGTGTAAACGGGGCCTGAATGCCTTATTCAAAGGTGAATGCATCTTAGGCACCATTTACACTATGGTTTTCGATTTAAAATGTAATGTTTAAGTTATTTTAGTTTGGAAACACTGGTATTCCAAGTCAAAAATAATATTTATTCTAACTCAATTTAAATAACATAATCAAAACATCAGTATCAGTATTTTCAACCAGTGTGAAAAGCAAGTGAATGGATGCGGTGAGTGTTGTCAGCGCTAGTATATGGATCCAAAAAAAAAAAAATCATGAAGCCCAAATTGGAGCACAGCAACTGCACAAACAGTGAATAAACAGCGGCCCAGACAAACTCTCTCACTGGGTTTAAATAGGGGCGCGGACGAGCATCAGTTGTGCTGAAGGCACACCCCAACCTAAAACGGACAAAACATACAAACACCCAAACCAAAACAACAAAGTCCTAATAGTATAGAGATAGGTAAATAAATATTTGGACATTGACACAATTCTAACGTTTTTGGCTCTATAAGCCAATACAATCAACTTGAAAAAAAAAAAAAAGATGTGCAAGTCAGATGATTAACTTGGCCATTGCATAACATTCAACTTCTTTCCCTTAAAAAAACTCTTGGGTTGCTTTTGCAGTATGCTTTGGGTCATTCTCCAACTACCCTGTAAAGCACCGTCAAATGAGTACTGAAGTATTTGGCCTAATATGAGCAGAAAATATTGCCTGAAACACAGAATTCATCCTGCTGCTTTTGTCAGTAGTCACATCATCAATAAATACTAGAGAACCAGTTCCATTTACAGCCATACTTGTCCATCTCACTACTATAGCACCGACATGCTTCACTGCTTAGGATCATGAGCAGATCCTTTCCTTCTCCATACACTTCTTTTCCCATCACTCTGGTACAAGTTGATCTTGGTCTCATCTGTCCATAGGATGTTTTTCCAGCACTGTGAAGGCTTTTTTTGGAACGCTAATCTGGCCTTCCTGTTTTTGTGGTTCACCAATGGTTTATATCTTGTGATGAAACCTCTGTATGCACTATGGTGTAGTCTTCTCTTGATTGTTGACTTTTAACACACATACACCTACCTTCTGGAGAGTGTTCTTGATCTGGCCAACTGTTGTGAAAGGTGTTTTCTTCACCAGGGAAAGAATTCTTTTATCGTCCACCACGTTTCTGTGGTCTTGCGGTGTTTTGATGTTGCTGAAATCACTGGTGTAATCTTTCTTTTTTTTTTTTAGGAATGTTCTTTTTTTCTTTTTTTAGGAATGTTCAAAACAGTTGTTTTGTCCACGCCTGATGTTTTTTCTATCTTCCTGATCTTTTCAGCCTAATGATGGCTTGTTTCACTGATAGTGACAGCTCTTCGGATCTCATCTTGAGAGTTGACAGTAACAGATCACAACTGCAAACAGCACACTTAAAATGAACTTTGGATCTTTTGGACCTTTTATTTACTCATTGTAATTGGAATAATGAGGACATTACACACACCTGGCCACGGAACAGCTTAGAAGCCAATTGTCTTATTACTTTTGGACCCTTAACAAGTGGGAGGCACATATGCAAACTGTTGTAATTCCTACTGTGTCCACCTGATTAGGATGTAAATACCCTCAAATTACATCTGCAGTCTGCAGTTAAAGCACATCCTGTTCCATTTTAAATCTATTGTATTGGTTTACAGAGCCAAAAAGGTTAGAATTGTGTCAATTTGCAATTATTTATGGACCTAACTGTAGACGGACTGCTATGCAGATTTTAAAAATGGAGGCATGGCTACAGTTACTCTCTGACTGGTCTTTTGGACTACCCACATAATGTTCCCTGATTCATCAAGCCATTTTCAAATCAATATAACTAGACTGCACATACGGATGTGTCAGAATATGCACATCCCCAGTAAGAGTCAATGATCATGTATCATGTGTTTTAGGCTGCATAGCATTAACTCCACTTCCAGAAGCAAACCTACGTTTCTTTCCCATGAGGAAACCTATGTAGGTACTGACCCACAAGGTGATTTGACTGTGACTGCGCTCTCAGAAATATGCGAGTTGTCACTGGGGTGGTACCTTTTTAAAAGGTACAAATTTGAACCTAAAAGGTCCATATTAATACCTCAAGGGCACATATTAGTAGCTAAAAGTACAAAAGTGTTCCTCTTTAGGTACTAATATACACTTTTGAGGTACCAATATGGACCCTTTAAGTACAAATGTGTACCTTTTGAAAAGTTACTACCACAGTGACAGCTTGCGTACAGTACCTTTCTTTCTGAGAGTGTGGGGCAGACTTCATTTCTCAAAATTCCACACTATAAAAAATGTAAACAAATATAATAAACAAACAGTCATGTCAGTCAGTAAACAGCTGGTAGTGCCAACCATCAGTACATGAAATTCTGAGATCAAAAATAACTCGGATGTTTTCCATTCCAAACAGCCCAAAAAGAAAGAAAGAAAAAAAAATTCCTTTCAAGAAGCATCTGTGTACAATATGGAAGTTTCTCAGGCATGCGATGCCTCAGTCTCTCTGCCCTGCTGCAGCAGAGACAGTAAAATAAAAAATTGGACACAAGTGTTCGGTGCGTGTCTGATGAAATATCAATACTGCACAGCATTAAGGGCTTTGCCGTCTGTCTTCATGTGTCGGATTATTTAGCAATTACATTTCTCACCTGTCCTTTTCTGTGTGTTCATGAATATTTAAACACAAAGGCGCATTGCTTCAGCAAAGAACGAGAACAGATTGAGAGGGGAAGCCCGGAATGTATTTCTGTAGAGGTTAAAAAAAAGGCTATTTCTGCGAGCCACCATATAATAATTTAATGTTATTTGAATTTCTAAAATCCAATTCTGCAAGTCTTTGAAAATGTAGAGAGCATTTGAAAATGAAAGCCTGTCAGAAGCTCATTACCACCCCTGGGTTTCTTTTACCCTGATGAAGTAGAAAGCATAAAGGCTTTTCCTCTCATGAGAATGTTCACAAATTTAGTTCTTCGCCTAGGGTTAAAGCTCTTTGTGAAAAGTGCCAGACTGATGGCCAATCAGGTCTGAATCTTATAATCCTATTTGATCTGAGCACCGGTTGAGCTGAGAATTGGCTCAAACCAATTTTTATTTTACAATTTAGAAATCAGGGTTGACTATCAGCATCCCTGTAAAAGTGATGTTAAGATCGATATGTCCAATCAAACATGATATTTGTTAAATTTATTAGATTACTCTTCTTTACGGAAGTAGTGGAATTTGACACAGAGCTGAGTTATCTACAGACAAACGTCCAAAAATGTTCTAACGACATAATGTATATTGGTATGTAAGCTATAAAAGATTTTTTCAAAGGCGCTTTCTTACCTTTGAGTTTGCTCTGGACATTCAGGGCTACATCCAAAGGGCAAAATGGAAGAACAGGATCTGTAGCCAGTCGTAGGATGGCCTCGGTTGTTATCTAAATCAACAAGAGACAAAACATAAGTCATTGGTTCCTTGTTCACTGAATAACACAAACAAATGCAAATGTTCAGTGCACACTTACACAAGGATACCACCCACATAACAAAATATCTCTGGCCCAGCTCTGGCCCACACAAGCAGCTTTTGCTTGGCCCACATGCTGCGGTGAATTACGGTACATGACTGGACCAAGTCTGGCCACCAGACAAGGGCCAAACATGGACCATATATGGGCCAAGTCAGTAGCCGCATTTCCACTATCGGGCCAGTGCGAGCCAGGGCTTTTATCGGGCCAGGCCGGGCCAATCGCCTGGGAGGTTGAGCAGTGACGCCGAAATCATGTCGCGTTTTCACTGTCGGGCTAGTAGCTTGCAGCGCGTCACGCAAACCCCGCCCCCAGAACATCCACCGAATCGTAAGTCGCTCAATCTGCCCACTTCAGCGGGAATCAGGCAGACAAAGCACACCAAATCATCACGAAACTAATAAAATTAGGACAACCAAAACAAACAATTGACACGTTACTGTTCAGCAGTACAATGTATGTCTATACGCACATACCTGTGTGTTCTCATTTATCATTTTCATTTACTCCCCGACCGACTGTTGGCATCGAAATCCAGTGGTCTTGCCACTAACGGAGGGACCCAGCGCAGGGAGCGCACACATCCATAATATAACACCACATTTATAAAATTCTCCGTTAATAACTCAATATTAAAATGTATTTTATAACATCCTCAGTTAGACAGAAGCTGTCCAACATTCATCCCAAATGCTCCGGAGAGAACTGAAACATGAACTTTTCTCTATAGGCTTTATGACACTTAATAGGTGATTCCCTTTATTTAAAGATGTTGCTTATTACATCTTAAGTAAAGGAAAGTGTTTGAGGACACAGAACACAATTTGAAGTTGCAGTTTTCCCCGATGCGTCTGTAAAGTGCTGCGCAGCTGGAAGACAGAAAAAAGGTCAACTTTCTGCTTTCACTCACCCCGAAAATGCTCTGTTTGCATGATTTGATTAATATCATCGTATCCAAATACTTTATAAATAATATTTAAAACATTTTCAGGTGTTTATTGTTTTTAGAAAATATCTAAAATCTTTTTTTTTTTCAGAGAGGCTTTTGAAAAATGAAAGTTTAACATGGCTTTAAAACAGTTTGATACCTAATTATAATAACTAGTTTTTGTTTGTTTTATATTGGTTTATTTATTTATGTGATTTTATTATATCTGATATTTGTAATTCTTTAAATTATTTTAATAGCTTAGGCTATTTTATCTAGATATGACACTATTGTTTTGAGCCTACAAAAGTGGACACGAAATTTGTAAAGTTTAATGTCTTTATGTTGTATTCATATAGTGTATTATCTCCAAAATAAATAAAAACAATAAAAAATAAAGGAAAACAGCCGCTCGCAGCATCAACTCAGCTGTGAAGGGAGCGCTCTTGTCCTTGGTCTCTCACACACATACAGGACGCGCACGAACACACCTTTTAAACTTGACAAAAACTCTCTTGAAAACCTTTACTGTCTGCTGTGTCTTAAATATGCTGTAAAGATTATTATGCGTTATTGAAACATCAAAGAGGACGTAGCAAAGAAAAGTCAGTTATAAATTAAAACTACTTTATTATTTTGTGCAACAGCCTTAAGTTTAAAAGAGAAACATAAGGGCGATCATACGCAAAAAAGACCCCAGCCTATTATTTGTTCCAAATGTTTTCCTCCCCTTATTTATTTGTTTGTTTGGAGCATGTACTCATGTGCGATCGGAAAACTGTGCCCGCCTCTCACTCCGCCCCGAAGTCCTGGCTGGCCCTCTTTGGCCCAAGGTATTCGGCGGACCGAAAAAGGCCGGCTGCTGGCCCCAAGAAAGCCCCGATTTGGCCTTTATTAGGCCTCGGAAGTGACAGTGGAAACGCGACTGGCCTTGGCTCGCCCTGGCCTCACTCGCTTTAGGCGCGATAGTGGAAACGTGGCTAGTAACACATAACTGAGCCTATACTGGGCCAGATATGTTGGTGTGTCACGACTGCAATGAAATTGATAAACCCATGAAGCATTGCCATTTAGGTGCGAAATGGGTGTGCTTTTTTTCAAAGTGACCTGATTGGTAGAATTTAAAATATCAAATGTTTTAAAATGATTTAAAAAATCAAAAATAATAAAAATGTATCAAGACAGGCCAAACTTACTCGGCCCACAAATTCATTATTAGCATCTGGGCCAAATACTACATTTGATATCTGGCCCAAGTATTGTGTGCCGCCTTAAAGACTGTGCCACCTCTGACAAACCCGGGCCATGTTTGGCCCACATGCTGTATGCCAGTGCTGGATGAATGTCAAGAAGAAACTAGTGATGTCCACAAACGTCAAGCTGTAGCATCATTAGACATTGATATTTTAGTTGTTTTTAGGTTGCGTTGGAAGGTGACTAAAATGCAACGTCTGATGTTGGATGATGATATCGGTCTGATGTTGAGTTCTGACGTCAACCCGATTTTTATTTCCACCCAAAATGTAACGTCCCTACGACGTTGGGGTACAACGTCAATCTGAAGTCTAGTTGACGTCCTGTGCCTGCTTGGTATACTCTCAATTGTCAAAACTAAATTTTGTTTAGCAATATGCTAATGATCTAATTTAACTCAAATATTTATGCTAAGCTAAGGATATGCACCCACCGGACCCAGCAATCAGCTGAATGGATTCAAAAATAATAAAAGAAAAATAAAATTGTTTAACTCCAGGGTACATGACCCGGTACCGGGTCCGTGACCTCATGCAATAACCTTTGCATAGACTATGGTAGAGACATTTTTCTTTTTTCCTATGACTACAGACATGTGCAGGAACCACCAAAATTAATTACAGCACGCTAGACCACACAGAACCTAAAAGGTACACTTTCAAATTTGAGTTAAAAAAAAAAAAATACAAAAAGTGCCTCTTTTTGTAGGTGTTTATTATACCACAGACAACATATACAGTTATTTTAAACACTTTCAATAGTGTTTTAAGAAAATTCAAAGGGTTTTCTTTAAAATGATACCAAATCTTTGCATTTACACCTCTGCATGTGGATTTGGGAAGCTTTTAAATTTGGGTAGGCAAAATCTAGACGGAAATCCCCAAATAGCAGCAGAGTTTAAGTGGTTCAGCCCATTTCAATAAAAGTGGAGTGTTCCATTAAGCTTCCATTCATTCAGCGCTGATCTATAAATACTGGTTGCGTTCTGTCTTATGCCCTTCCATTCATTTCCACTCCCTTGCTGGATTCCATTGCTTTCCATGTCTGACACCCTAGTCTTTGACAGGTGATTGTAACTGTGCAGTCGATAAGATCCATACTACGCTTTTCCTATATCCACTGTGCCCACTGATCAAATGTTATTGATTTTCCAACCGTCCCCTCACACCCTGCACGAGGTTAACACATGGGTAGGAAACTGCACAGCATGAACACATATCGACTACGGTTTTCTCATATGGTAAGTATCTCTTTCACCTGACCTGTTCTGACCTCTCTGAAGACAACAGTTTGCTGGCTGGCAGTATAGAGGGATTCCCTCAAGAGACAGGATGAATTTGACCTGTGAAAGGGCAAAGTAACACATGTCTCAAAGGAGGATTCAGTGGCTGACCAGTGACCCTGCCTAAATAAATCAGTCCAAGGCAGGAGTTTACTTGATCTTGGTCTCCAATGAGATCAGGATCTCATGCAGTGATAAAATATACAGAAAACACAGGTCACTTTTTGGGTAAAGTGCGCCCTTTTGGGCTGAGGTTTGGTGACTTTGGAGGCCATTTGAGCATCGTGAACTCCATCATGTGCAAGAAACCAATTTGAGATGATTTGAGACATGACATATTGCACTGGTTGATGTAGCTATTGGAAAATGGACATACTGTGGTCATTAAGGGATGGACATGGTCAGTGATAATACTCAAGTAGGCTGAGGCATTTTTATAACAATTTGGTACTAAATGCACAAACCACCACCAGACTGGAACATCAATAGCAGGATGAAGCCATGCCTTTTATACCAAATTCTAACACTACCTCATGCTGATGTCATGTTCACTTTTAGAATGCCTCCTTTTTGTTTGAGTCACTGTGTTATTTGAGTCACCGTTGCCTTTGTATCAGCTCTACCCAGTCTGGCCATTGTTCTCTGAGCTCTGGCATCAACAAGGTATTTTTATTTTTGCCCAAAGAAATTTCACTTACTATACATTTTCTCCCAATCCCAGTAGGTCAGAGTAGAGGATGACAGGGGAGTGGATTTTTACTCCTGTCCTGTCCCATGCCCACAGAAAGAAATCTTGTCCCATCCCACTCTCAGACCAAAGTTAAAAAATGTACCTCCTGGTAAAATGACTCCCACTACTGTTTAAAATGCCTCCAGCTCCTGTACGGCTCCCATATATGTATGTATATATATATATATATATATATATATATATATATATATATATATATATATATATATATATATATATATATATATATATATATATCTCTTTTTTTCACAAAAATATATTTACAAAAACACACACACTTTCACACTATCTCTTAATTTCTTATAATATATTTTTTATTTAAAATATATATTTATTTCTATAAATATATATATAAAAAAATATATTTTTATTTTTTTAAACACCATTTT